AGATATGCTTCCATTGTGACCTATCACCATTTTGGGATTGTAAACTGAATGGGGCAGGTATTCGCCATAAAATATGAGCACTTGGTCACGGAAAATTGTACCAATCACTTTTTGGACGCAATACTGAAACTGAAAGCTAGGGCTTGTTGCACGGTTTCCATTCCAAAAGCTCTCGCAGCACACCAGCGTGCAAAATAGCAGAACCAACAGGATCGGTTTACTCATGGCGACTGACGGAATAGAAGAGGCGAACTTCACTGTCTTATTTGTCTTTAGAAACAAAACTCATTAAATGATCATTATAATGTCATCATTTCTACATTACCACACCTTGATACTGTCTTACTGTAGTTTTCTATTTATCTTTCGGTCACCAACAATGAAGTTGTTTATTTTATAGATGTTAAATTGACATTGTAATATGTTTGAATGAGTATAGCCTACTCTCTTTAGTCATATGGGTAGACAAAGTGACGACGGAAAAGATAGATAGACATGTGCATTCCGTGACGTGTCATTCTTTATAAAAATGGGACGCGGACCACGATATAAAATGAAGTTCCAAACATGATACCATATTGTTTTCATGGAAACGACGGGAAAACGTAAGCTTGCTACTTTGGACGTCTAAATTATATTCAGTCCGGGGGATTTATAGTTTACCTGCGCCTGTGACATCATATCAACTGTATTTTAGCTGGTTTAAGATAAGGTATTGTTTTGCACTATATACTAATAAATTGAATTGCATTTGCGTTTCTTTAAACAATTCATTTATATCGTTTGGGCGTAAAGACCTTGGGATTAATTAGAATTAACATGAATTAATTTGAATTAGCGTGAGTTAATTTGAATTTTACTGTTTGGTGTACACCAAAAATGATACTTGTTCCCCTTAAAAAAATTCGTTCCTAAAAAATCATCGATTCCTGAAAAATTGCCCTTATAAATCCCCAGAAAATTCGCTTCAGAAAATTTGGTTGCGCTTAAAAAATCGCCCTTGGAATGTTTCATCCCTAAAGGCTTGTTCCCGGAAAAGTGTCTCACTGGAGATATTCGCTATAGAAAAATTCTCATCCTGAAATTGTAGCCTCGAAAAAATCACTATTGTCTTATCTTCAGATTTGTTCCCGAAAAATTTCTTCTGGGAAAGTTCCCTATGGAAAAATTCGCTTCCGGAAAATGTAGGCTGGCTGGAAAAGTCGCCTTGGGGACATGCGCACCGGAAAACTCTTTCATGGAATAATTGTATAACAAATTTTTGTCCTGTAAATTTAGCCCCGAAAAAAATCGCCCTTGGAATATTTGACATTAAAAACACGTCTCGCCCTGGAAAAATTCCTATGGAATTCTTGTCCTGAAAATTTAAACACGAAAAAATTGTTCTTGGAAAACTTTTCCCTGGAATACTTACGTGAAAAATTTGCCCCCAGAAAATTTAGTCGCGAAAAAATCCCCGTTGGAATATTTGACCCACAAACACTCGTCCTGACAAAAAATTGCCCTGGAAAATTCGTTTCTCGAAAATCGCCGATTCCTGTAAAAAATCGCCCTTAGAAATCTCCTGAAAATTCGGTAGTAAAAATCGCTCTCATAAAACAAGGCTTATAAAAATTACCCCGCTGGACCTAGCCCCCCCACCATTGTGAATCAATTTAAGAATGGTATCCAATTTATGAGCTATTTAGGAGCTTTTCGTATTGCAAGCTTAAAATTTTAGAGCTGGCTTTAATCACTAGGAATCGAACATTTCTTATGGGGTGGCCGAGTCTACTTGGATTCAGCCCCCCCACCGATTAGAATTACTTTTTTCAAATTAAATTTTACACTGGAATTACGAGCTATTTAAGAGCTTTCATTTACAAGTAATTTCGATTTTTGAGCGCCACTCTTAAAAGAGCAAATTGATATAATCGATTATATCAATTTGCTCATTTAAGAGTGGCGCTCTAAAATCGAAATTACTTGTAAATGAAAGCTCTTAAATAGCTCGTAATTCATGCATAAAAATTTATTCGAAATGAGTAAACGATAACAGAGGAGGGGCTACGTCCAAGTGGAACTGGCCGCCCCATCGATTATATCAATTTGCTCTTTTAAGAGTGGCGCTCAAAAATCGAAATTACATGTAAATGAAAGCTCTTAAATAGCTCGTATAATTCCAGTGTAAAATTTAATTTGAAAAAAGTAATTCTAATCGGTGGGGGGGCTGAATCCAAGTAGACTCGGCCACCCCATAAGAAATGTTCGATTCCTAGTGATTAAAGCCAGCTCTAAAATTTTAAGCTTGCAATACGAAAAGCTCCTAAATAGCTCATAAATTGGATACCATTCTTAAATTGATTCACAATGGTGGGGGGCTAGGTCCAGCGGGGTATAAAAATTTACCTTCGCTAGAATACTTGCGTGAATAATTCCAGAAAATTTGATGCGCTCTAAAAATCGCCCCTGGAATATTTGACCCCTAAAGACTTGTCCTCCGAAAAAAATATACGAGACAAATTCGCTATGAAAAAATCGCCTTTTTAAAATGCTTCCGTGCAAGATTCAACTCGTAAATTCATACAGGGAATATTCGCCTCTACGAATTTTCCTCTCGTAATATTTGCGTGAAAATTTCACCCCCAACAATTTTCGAGAGGGTTCTTCCTGGAAAACTTCTTTCCTAAAAAATTCGCCTATCGAATAAAGTCGTTCTTGGAATATTTGACTCCCAAAATCTCCAAGGAAAATTGTTCTGGGAAAATTCGCTATGGAAAAATTCTCTTCCGAAAAATTTACCTACGGAAAATGTAGGCTCCCAAAATTGCCCTTGAAACATTCGTCCAGAAAAGGAAATTCGTCTACAGAAAATGAAAAAATCATCTTTCGAATATTTGGTCCCCAAAAAATCGTCAAAGAAAAAATTGCGTTGGAAGTTTATGCCCTGGAATACTCGCTTAAAAAACTCGCCCCGGAAACTTGCGTGGAAAACTTGTCTCCAGAAACGTAAAAAAATGTCCCTTGAAATATTTGACCCCCAAAAATTGTCCCCTCAAAATTCGTCTTGGCGAATATTTGTCGTAGAAAAATTCATATCCAGAAAATTCGCATACGGAAATTTTAGCCTCCAACAAAATAGACCTTGGAAGGCGCATAGTTACCATGACAAAAAGAGCTACTGTGAAAACGCGAAAATTTTGCAAAAAAATTGAGCCTTTAACACAAAAATTGATTTGAAAAATCATTATGCGCATATAACGTGTTTCAACAGAGCGCAAAATTCAACCATTTTAGCATAGCATAAGTGCTCATTCGGAAGGCGCATAGTTAACGTGAAAAAAAGAGCAACTATGAAAACGCGCAAGTTCTGCACAAAAATTGAGCCTTTTGAAGCTCAAAAATTGATATAAGAAATCGTTATGCGCATATAACGTGTTTCAACAGAGCGCAAAATTAAACCATTTTAGCATAGCATAGGTGCTCATCCGGAAGGCGCATAGTTAACGTGACAAAAAAGAGCAAGTGCGAAGACGCGCAAATTTTGCACAAAAATTAAGCCTTTAGAAGCTCAAAAATTGATTTGCAAAATCATTATGCGCATATAAGGTGTTTCAATAGAGCGCAAAATTAAACCATTTTAGCATAGCATAAGTGCTCATTCGGAAGGCGCATAGTTAACGTGAAAAAAAAGAGCAACTGCGGAAACGCGCAAATTAAAAATTGAGCCTTTAGAAGCTCAAAAATTGATTTGGAAAATCATTATGCGCATATAAGGTGTTTCAATAGAGCGCAAAATTAAACCATTTTAGCATAGCATAAGTGCTCATTCGGAAGGCGCATAGTTAACGTGAAAAAAAGAGCAACTATGAAAACGCGCAAGTTCTGCACAAAAATTGAGCCTTTTGAAGCTCAAAAATTGATATAAGAAATCGTTATGCGCATATAACGTGTTTCAACAGAGCGCAAAATTAAACCATTTTAGCATAGCATAGGTGCTCATCCGGAAGGCGCATAGTTAACGTGACAAAAAAGAGCAAGTGCGAAGACGCGCAAATTTTGCACAAAAATTAAGCCTTTAGAAGCTCAAAAATTGATTTGCAAAATCATTATGCGCATATAAGGTGTTTCAATAGAGCGCAAAATTAAACCATTTTAGCATAGCATAAGTGCTCATTCGGAAGGCGCATAGTTAACGTGAAAAAAAAGAGCAACTGCGGAAACGCGCAAATTAAAAATTGAGCCTTTAGAAGCTCAAAAATTGATTTGGAAAATCATTATGCGCATATAAGGTGTTTCAATAGAGCGCAAAATTAAACCATTTTAGCATAGCATAAGTGCTCATTCGGAAGGCGCATAGTTAACGTGAAAAAAAAAGAGCAACTGCGGAAACGCGCAAATTTTGCACAAAAATTGAGCCTTTAGAAGCTCAAAAATTGATTTGGAAAATCATTATGCGCATATAAGGTGTCTCAATAGAGCGCAAAATTCAACCATTTTAGCATTGCATAAGTGCTTGTCCGGAAGGCGCATAGTTAACGAAAAAAACTAAAGAGCCTTTTAAAGCGCACAAATGCGCATAATAATAACGTGTTGCAACAGAGCGCAAAATCTAATATGCGTGTCTTTGCGATGGTCGAAAAGGCGCATAATTACAATACAAAATTAAATTTGCTAGGATCAATTGCTCAAAATAGGGCATAAATATTGGTATTCGTGCGCAAATTTCGCAGAAAAACTTTCGTCCGCGCATAATTTGCGCATAATAAAAAAATATTTTGTGCAGAACACACGTACCCTTTGATAGTTGCATATGTAGCAAAGAGCGTAAGTCCGACACTAAAAGCACTTATGATCAAAAAATTCATTGTACGAGTATTTACTCACAACGTCCAACGTGCGACTGACTAAAAAAAAGTGCATGCGGTTTGGCCTCTCCACTTCTAGAGGCTGACTAAGCGCGACGCGTTTTGGTTTCCCCCGTACGCAAATCGTCTGTCCTAATTTTACCAATAACTCACCTAGAATGGCCCGCAGGTGGCCTTCGAGCGTTTGCAGTATCGTAATTTTGATCTCCTTGACGGACTTCCCCAAGAACTGTTCGGAGGCGGTGCAGAGCAGCTCGTCCGCCTTCATGATCTTGCACTGCGCGACGCCGGTGACGGTGAGGGGGACGCCCTGGGCCGTCTCGACGCTGTCGCATTGCGGATTGAGCGTCATCACCTCGAGGGACAGCCGCTGGACATCGGTCACCAACCACCATGCCCATGCCCAGCCGCCTACGATCGTCACGCGCTTGGTGGATCCGCAGCAACCCCCTGCAAAAAAATTGCGACTGTGAGCTAGGCAACTAACATTACGGCTCGACGTGCAAGGTATCGCAGGTTCGCATCCCGGGGACGTACGCAAATTTTTTTTTTGTAAACTCGAGTTCGTGTCATCGCGCACGTAAAGTTTATTGATGACCTACAATGAGGAAGACACCGTTAACTTCGTCCATAACAAACACTTAAAGTCGGGCATGTTCCGTTACCTTCAGCGGAATGTAGGATAAATCGAATTTCAAAGAAATAGAAAGAGCGACACTTTTCACTTGGCAAGCGACGAAAGTGGACGTTTCGACATATCTTGAGAAGAGGTCAAGTTCAATGCGTCTCCTCACGGCGGTGCTGTGGTAAAATGTGCGGTGCAATTCAAAAATTGAAGATTTATATCATGCTCAAAATAATGGATGGATTCTAAACGATCTGTGCGTGACGTCGAAATCAAAAGGACGACGGTAAGCTTTTTTGAATAAAAACAAATCGAAATAGAAAACCACAAAGTAAATTCGCTTCTTGAAAATCGCGACGAAAAAATGTTCCGGGTCCATAACCGACTCTTTTTTCATAACCACTTTTTTTAAAATTGGCAACGTGTCTTTCTTGATTTTTGAAGAACTGATGATTCGTAAAATGAAACAGTCAACTCGGTCAATTTTTTTTAGTTTTGGGGGTTTCAAAAACAATTGAATTAAAAAAACATTAACAGTGTTTTTGAAACAGCTGTAAAGTAAAAAATTTTTAGATTTTTTATTTTTTGTAAGTTTCAAAAAACCAATACGTACATAAAGAAGACACTTATGTTATCATCGCACTACCTTATCAGTGTTTTTTAAATAACTTGAACTAGTTTCAAAAAAATTCAAAACAAAGCAAAAAACATTAGTTTACGAGTAGGTACTTTAAAAACGTCAATTATTGCTTTTATAATTTTCAAAACCCAATACAAAAACACGTAATCTACGCACTCTGTTCTCAGTCTTTATTAATAGCAACATAAATAATTGTCACTTTTTTTTAATTTGTTTTAAAATTACAAAAACAAAAGTAAAGCAAAAAAGACAGGCTACTTTGCTATTTTCTAGTATTGACAGTTTCGCTGCACTTCTTGTTATGTTTTTGAAACTATGGCCCCGTCAGATAGCTCATCTTTGATTCCCCTCAGTCCGATCCATAAGAGTTTTGATGTGTATATATATCTTTGCGAAATTTTTATTTAGTCCATAACTTTTGATTGAGAGGTTTGATCGAAAAAGTACTAATCGTTTTGGATTCTACGCACCAAAATTAGTGAGAAAAAGTGTTTTCCCGAGAAATTTTGGAGCAGTCGATTTTTGGTAAAAAAGGAAGGTTATACACTGCCTTTTTTTGAGCCCCGAAAAAAAAATTGTCTCAGATCGACCCGGAAAAAATTTTTTCTTATAGAATGTGGCCTGTAGAATCCATAATTTCAAACAGTTCCAAGATTGGGCTACTAGTTCAAAAGTTACAGCCTTTTGAATTTTCTTTCGAAATTGGTTTCTAGTCTATAACTTTTGATTGAGAAGTCTGATCGAAAAAGTACGAATTGTTTTGGATTCTACGCACCAAAATTAAAAAGAAAAAGTGTTTTCCCGAGAAATTTTGGTGCAGTCGATTTTTGGTAAAAAAGGAAGGTTTTGCCTTTTTTTGAGCCCCGAAAAAAAAATTGTCTCGGATCGACCCGGAGAAACAATTTTCTTATAGAATGTGGCCTGTAGAATCCATAATTTCAAACAGTTCCAAGATTGGACCACTAGATCAAAAGTTACAGCCCTTTGAACTTTATATATATATAATGCGCTAAAAAGGTAAACAAGCAATAGAGAACTATAGGCTAGACTCTAGGGGAACAAGAGGAAATAGGAAAGGAATGGAAAAGAGAGATAAAAGAAAGCAGTGGTGGGACAGAGAGCGTATACAGAAGAGAGATACAGAACAATAATGGAGATGGAAAGAAAGGGAGGGATAGAGAAGAATAAGCAAAAAAGGAGAAGACAAAAAAGTACAAAAGAAAATGCGAGGAAAAAAATGAAGAAAGAGAAAAAATGTGAAGAAGAAAAAAGATTATGAGCACAGGAAAAGGGGAATACACATGACAAGTGGGAGAGAAATACAAATAAAAAACGTGACACCCTATGAAGGTACTACAAGGAAACCAGGAGAAAGAGGGGAAGATGGAAGAGTGGAGGTGGAAGGAAACGAGATACCAAGAGAAGCAGCAATTAAAGAGACTGAAGAAAGGGAAAGCGACAGGGAGCGGCAAAATACGAAATGAGACATGGATTTTTCGACACAAATACTATCAAGGAAAAACTGATAAAAGTACTAAACAAGATATGAAAGAACGGAAGGAAGGGGATTTGTAGAAAAAGAAAAAGGTACCTTTTGTAACGTAAATTCAATTACATGCTTTATTTATTTAGAATTAACCAACAATAAATTTATAACAGTCTTGAAATGAATTTATTTATAATAGCTAAAATATTACTTATCACTCACATACACACAATTTATAACAACGCCAACTATTTATTACTTCGACGTTGAAATTGGCACTGAATTCCATATTGCTTATAATGTCCTCGAACGCTCCCGAATATTCTAGAATGTTCTCGAACAAAACACGTCATATAAAAGACTGAGACAGGTATGTCCACCCTTATTTAATTTTTTACATAATGGATATGGAGAAAATATTAAGACAGTGGCAAAGTGGAGGAATCGTAGTGAGAAGAAGGCACACGCCGATGCCAGTAATATTGACAACAGAGGAAAAACTGAGGGAAAAACAGATGAAGAAAATGATGAAACGATTAGCGATGTTTAAGAATTGTTTTATGTTCTCTCGATGCAATATTTTTTCATTCTTCGGAAAGCTATTGTATCAGGATCCCATAAAAGCTAAGATTATCATGAAACTTGGTATACAGCATTAAGTTGTGGTACAAAACCTTGGTACAAAGCTAATTTTTTAGGATCATACGGAATCAAGGCGGAATAAGCGAAAATGATTACTGCTACTTTCAAACGTTCTATGTTCTCCTAAGCAAAATTATCCTAATAAAAATAATTGTGTCAAGATCACAGAAAGCAATTCTGCACCTCCTTCCACCGAATACTATCATAAAAATTAAATTGTCGCAGGATCACAGTAACGTACGAATCGTCAAACGCTTCTTTCCAATTATAATTTATTAGGATCACATATAAAAGCTTTATGCATAGGTGATTTATTATTATCTCAAAGACACAGGATGCAATAAAAGAAGATTATTGGGCTCCTAATACAGATCATTCTTCTAAAAACTACTGTATTAGGATCACAGGAACGTAAGAATATTACCAAACTGTTTCTACCCTACTACGTATTGAATTTTAATGTCGAAACCTTCTGGAAAGTTCTCGCGCTTCCAGTTTTGGTATCAGGAGAACATAAAAATACCTTCTACTACTTCTACACTCCTGATTCATTAATTTCTTATTGAAGTTGCTTTGGTGGTAGGAGAACATGAGACATGTGCTATTGACAAGGATTTTGTTTCAGGAGAGCATGAGATATTGGGTATTTTTTTTTTGTTTACGACTGGAACTTGATGTTTTGGTATTAGGAGTACATAAAAGTAACTTGTACCATTTCCACACTCAATACCAACTACTATTCAAGTGACTTTGGTTGGTTTCAAGAACACATGATGCATTTAATCGATATTTTGATCTCGTTTATCACAGTTGGAACAGGTCTTTTCTTTTTGATTTATGTAAGGTTTGGTATCAGGAGAATATAAAAATATCTACTTCTGTATTATTTTAGAATTATTTTCGTGCTTTCCATACACGTAAATTTTTGGATCAGGGTAAATTTAGAAAAATACTTATTTGGCACTTCCGGACCCTTGCCGTCGCATTATTTTTCACAATTTTATATCAGGAGCACATAATGGCATCTGTCTATATTTCTGAACTCATTTACAAACAGGCTTTTGATTGATAAATAGCTTTTGTATCAGGAGAATATAAAAATGCCTGTTACTTCTGCACTCTTGACATCGAATTATTTGTAAAAGTTTGCTATCAGGAGCACAAAGAGGCTTCAGTCTATATTTCTGAGGTTATTTACTACACGCTGGAACTTTTCCTCATTTTGATTGATTGGTATCAGGAGAATATGAAAATACCGTCTACTACTTCTATACTCCAGATTCATTAATTTTTTATTGCTTTGGTGGTAGGAGAACATGACACATGTGCTATTGACAAGGATTTTGTTTCAGGAGAGCATGAGATATTGAGTATTTTTAACTTGTTTACAATTTGAATTTAAGGTTTTGGTATTAGGAGTACATAAAAGTAACTTCTACCATTTCCGCACTCAACTCCGACTACTATGCAGGTGACTGGTTGGTTTCAAGAAAACATGATGCATTTAATCGATATTTTCATCTCGTTTATCACGGTTGGAACAGGTTTTTTCTTTTTGATTTATGTAAGGTTTGGTATCAGAAGAATATAAAAATATCTACTTCTGTATTATTTTAGAATTATACACGTAAATTTTTGTATCAGGGTAACAGAAAAATACTTATTTGGCACTTCCGGACCCTTGCCGTCGCATTATTTTTGACAATTTTATATCAGGAGCACATAATGGCATCTGTCAATATTTCTGAACAAACAGCCTTTTGATTGATAATAGGTTCTGTATCAGGAGAATATAAAAATGCCTGTTACTTCTGCACTCTTGACATCGAATTATTTTTAAAAGTTTGGTATCAGGAGCACATAGAGGCATTGGTTAATATTTCTGAACTTATTTACTACACGCTGAAACTTTTCGTCATTTTGATTGATATTAGCTTTGGTATCAGGAGAATATAAAGAAAATCAATTAAAAAATTATGGCACGATAAAAAGGTTCATGTCGCCCTATTTGAAATAACGAAATGTCACAAATTACAAAAAATTTTGAATTCGTGATTTTGTAATTACTTTCGATAAAAAAAAGTCAATTTGAACTTTTGGAGCAACAATTTGCGTGATTTTTTGATGCAGGACCCCGCAGAATTACGAACAGCACAATTTAAATTCCATTCAGTTAATGATTTAGTTTAAGTGCAAGTTGAAGGTAAGTCTTAATCTCAAAGTATCAACCCTCCCATTACCAGCTCGCGTAAACGGCGCACAGAACACTCGCACTTTCACTGCACTGATTAGAAACGCATTATCACGTAGACGCACGAAAAAAGGGCATATCAATAGAAAGTGCGATGTCTGAGACACATTTTAATGAGCTCCGTAAATGGATTCGTTGTCCAGTCGATTTGTGACCGTATATCGATGTGTTTGTGTTAAAAATGACTTGGTTTCTAGGTATGGTTGAATTTTTAAATTTTTTGATTCTTTTGTTTAATATTATCTTGTACAAAAAAAGATTTTTTTTAAACACAAATACTACTCGACCACTCTTATCCTTAATTTTTCAGTATTAAACAACACCATAGTAAAACTCCCCTTTTTTAAAGGGCAGCCTTTCTTCATTTATAGAAATAGGTTTTTGATTTTTTGAATACAAGAACTTGTCGATCCAAAAATTAGGGACTTTTTTCAAAATTAAATCGATGACCATAGATCACTATTTAAAAACGGTGGCATCTAAGCAGCGATTTTTTTGCATTTTTTGATTTTTTGAAATTTTCTCAATTACTGCAGAGAAATCACAAATTCATATTCAAAAATTTTAGTTTACCAACCCTACTTGCCCTTTTTTGAATTGTACCAATATATAGATTAGAAAAAGGCCTCAAACCAAATTATTCTCTCTTTTTTGAATTTTATCAATTGTTAAAAAATGAGAGAGGCTCAAATTTTAAAAAAAATTAGCGAAATGCATTTGCATTTTTTTTAATGTTTCCAATTACTACAGACGCTAAAACCACACCAAAGATCTGAATTCCTAAGAAATTGTCAAAAATTTTAATTTACCAAATCTATTCGCCCTTTTTTGAATTTTATCATTTCTTGAAAAAGGGATCAAGTTTACAAATTTCAAAAATATTGGATAAATGAATTTGCATTTTTTGGAATTTTTTGAATTACTGCAAACAATAAAACCACCCAACAGCAATGGTTTTTTTAAATAATTCAAATTAATTTGCCCGAATTTGTCGATTCAAAAAACTCACAGAAAAATGACACTTTTTGAAACAAGTTATTTTTGATTTTTGTATTCAAAAAAGACACGCTTTTTAGACATTGCTAATTTCACCCAACATTTTGTTTCAAAATGTGTCACTTTTCCTACAACAAATAGTTTTTTGAAAATTTTTGCAAAAATGCCCGATTCAACATTAATTTTTTGAAATTGCAGGTATGAGTGGAATAGCGAGCCCCCTGGTCGGTTTGGGCGCGACCGCCGCCTCGAACTTGGGCTTCATTTTCCCCGCCCTTATAACCGCGATCGCCTACTTCGGCTACGATCGGATGGACCCGGAATCGAGACCGATCGACATGGACACCGCGGACCTTCTGGGTACCTACGATTTCATAGTGGTCGGTTCGGGATCTGCAGGTAACCTCACGTGTCATTGGCGCGTGAGCCTCACGTTTTTTTTCGTTCCAGGAGCAGTTGTGGCGAATCGGCTCAGCGAAGTCGAACAGTGGAACGTGCTGCTGCTGGAGGCCGGCGGAGACGAGACGGAGATATCGGACGTGCCGCTAATGGCCGCCTACCTGCAGTTGTCCGGGTTGGATTGGAGGTACAAAACCGAACCGCAGGAGGGAGTGTGTCAGGCCATGGTGAATAATCGCTGCAACTGGCCGCGTGGGAAAGTAATCGGCGGTTCCTCGGTGTTGAACTACATGCTCTACGTGCGCGGAAATAAAAAGGACTACGAGATATGGGAGTCGCTGGGAAATCCAGGGTGGGGTTCCCGCGACGCCCTCTACTACTTCAAGAAGTCGGAGGACAACCAAAATCCGTACCTGGCGAGGACGCCGTATCATTCGACGAGTGGCTACCTCACCATAGCCGAGGCGCCTTATCAAACCTCACTAGTGAGAAGCTTCATCGAGGGAGGAACCCAACTGGGCTACAAGAATCGCGACATCAACGGCGAGTTCCAAACGGGGTTCATGGTGGCACAAGGCACCGTACGCAGGGGCTCCAGATGCTCGTCCAGCAAAGCGTTTCTGCGCCCAATTCGTCTGCGGAAAAACCTACACGTGGCCATGCACTCCCACGTAACGCGAGTCATCATAAGCCCCCAAAGCAAGAGGGCGCTAGGTGTCGAATTCATGCGCGACGGCCAAGTGCACCGGGTCAAAGCAAGCAAGGAAGTGATCCTGTCGGCGGGCGCGGTCAACTCCCCGCAGCTACTCATGCTGTCGGGAGTCGGTCCGAAGGAAGATCTCCAACAGCTCGGGATACGAGTAGTTCAAGACCTGAAGGTCGGCCATAACCTGCAGGACCACATCGGGCTCGGTGGGCTGACGTTCAAGGTCAATCAGCCGCTCGCGATCATCCTGGAGAGGGTGTACGCAGTTAGAGCGATCATGGAGTACGTTGTTCTTGGACGCGGACCCCTCACCGTAATGGGGGGAGTCGAAGGTCTCGCCTTCGTGAACACGAAGTACGCAAATGCCACCGATGACTTCCCCGACATCGAGTTTCACTTCATCTCGGGCTCGACGAACTCCGACGGAGGGGTGCAGATCACCAAGGCGCACGGCTTGAAGCCGGAGTTCTACAAGAGGGTCTTCGAGCGAATGAACAACAAGGACGTGTGGAGCGTGATACCGGTGCTGCTGAGACCGAGGAGCAGGGGGGTAATTAAACTGCGCAGCACGAACCCCTTCGACCACCCCATGATCTATCCGAACTACTTCAAGGACGACTTCGACATGAGAACCCTGATCGAGGGTGTCAAAATAGGGGTGGCCCTCAGCAAGACGCCCGCGTTCAAGAAGTACGGCAGCGAGATGATGCGATTCCCCGACTGCGAACACGTGCCCTTCAACACAGATCCGTACTGGGAGTGCATGATTCGTTTGTACTCGGTCACGATTTACCACCCGGTCGGCACGTGCAAGATGGGACCCTACTGGGACCAAGACGCCGTCGTCGATCCCCAACTGCGGGTGTACGGCGTGAAGGGTCTACGCGTCGTCGACGCCTCGATCATGCCGACTTTGGTCAGCGGGAATACGAACGCCCCGGTCATTATGGTGGGAGAAAAGGGGGCCGATTTGATCAAGGAGTTTTGGCTTAATTCTGCCAACGATCGACAACGATAATTAATTTATTGTAAATAATTGTACCAAAATTAGGATAATTAAATATTTATTTTTGTCAAATTACGCCTAATTTTCGTTAATTACATTTTAATTAGGTGATCACATTTCTTGGATCAAATCATAATTGGCGCTAATTAATTAGACTGCTGCAAATTACGTGTACAATCTAAAATCGGATTAATTTAGGGCTTGCGTTTAATTCCAGACAATTTGCCATATAATTGCCTCTAATTAGGTTCAAAACGCTAATTTTAAACTAAAAACTTCAGTGTGTGCCCGAATTGAATTAGACGGCGACTAATTGAGTGCTTTAATTTAATTTATACCTATGGAAGGGGTTAATTCACGTTTACACAATGTAATTAGACTACTGCCCATTGTGTGCACAATTGTAAAGTAAATTACTCTAAATTCCAGTACAATTTGCATTGCAATCGGCTTCCAATTAGCGTCTAATTAAAATAAACTTAAGACTTTAGAAAAATGTCCAATAATAATTTCGAGTAGTCACAATTAAATACTGTAAAGATTCGTTTTTGCCAACACAAAGAAACAAAAAATTATCTAATTAAGGTTCCAAACGAATCTAATTCAAGAGTACCTAATTATTTAGTTAATTAATTACTACACATTTAAACCTGCACCTTCCACAGGATCTCTCAAGCGGAGTATTGTATAATTGGAAATTGAAAAAATCTAATTGAAGAATGATTAATTACTTGTGAGTTCAGGCACCCTAATTAATTATATACAATTCATTCCGTACCTGAAACTCTCTCTAGCATCGCTAAAAGTGCAAATTGCTTAATTGGAATTCCAAACGAATCTATTTTTCAAAAATACTTCATTACTTAGTAAATGCCGACACTAATTAATTATTACAAATTTCAACCGGGACCACCACTTTCTACAGCATCTCTTGGGTGCCGAATGGGAAAGTCAAACGAATCTAATTCAATAACGATTAATTACTTAGTGAACTCTAATTAATTATTACCTACATATTTCAACCTGTACTCGACACTTTCTACAGAATCTCTAAATTGGAGTATTGCTTAATTGAACAGGCAAACGAATTTAATTCAAAAATGGGTAATTACTTAGAGAGTGTGGGCATCCTAGTTGATGATTACCCAATTCATCTTGTACCTGCAACTCTATAGCATCGCTAAAGGTGTAAATTGCTTAATTGGAATTCCAAACGAATATCTTTTTCAACAATACCTGATTACTTAGTGAACGCCGGCACTCTTAATTAATTATTACACATTTCAACCTGCACCTGTCACCTTTTACAGCATCTCTAAAATAGAGTATTGCCTAATTCGAAAGGTAAACGAATCTAATTCAAGAATGATTAATTACTTAGTGAGTGTGGGCATTCTAATTAATTATTACAAATTTCAACCTACACCTCCACTTCCTATAGCATCTCTAAAGTGGAGTGTTGCCGAATGAGAAAGTCAAACGCATCTAATTCAAGAACGATTAATTGATCATGGGCATCCTAATTAGTTCTTATTACCTAATTCATCCTGGACCTGCAACTCTTTATAGCATCGCTAAAGGTGCAAATTACTTAATCGGAATTCCAAACGAATCTATTTTTCAATAATACTTAGTTACTTAGTGGATGCCAGCACATTAATTAATTAGTAGGTACTCATTTCAACCTGAATCTGCCAGTTTGTACAGTATCTGAAATAGAGTATTGTCTAATTGGAAAACCAAACGAATCTGATTCAAGAATTATTAATTACTTAGTGAGTGCGGGCATTCTAATTAATTATTACAAATGTCAACCTGCATCTCCACTCTCTACAGCATCAAACGGATTCTAATTAATTATTTATTACCCAATTCCTCCTGTACCTGCAACTTTCTATACCGCTAAATGTGCAAAGTGCTTAATTCGATTTCCAAACGAATTTATTTCAAGAATACTTAATTACTCACTGAATATCGGCACAATAATTAATTATTACACATTTCAATATGTACCTACCACTTTCAGCAGTATCTCTAAAGTGGAGTATTGCTTAATTGAAAGGGCAAACGAATCTAATTCAAAAATAATTAATTACTCAGTGAGTGCTAGTATTCTAATTAATTATTACCCAATTCATCCTGTACTTGCAACTCTCTATAGCATCGCTAAAGGGGCAAACTCCTTAAATGGAATTCCAAACGAATCTATTTCAAGAATACATCATTACTTAGTGAATATTCTCTAATTAATTACTACACATCGCAACCTGCACCTGCCACTTTCAGCAGTACCTCTAAAGTGGGGTATTGCTTAATTGGAAGGGCAAACGGGCCTAATTCAGAAATAGTCAATTACTTAGTGAGTGTGAGTGTCCTAATTAATTGTAAATTGTAAATGTGCAAATTGTTTAATTAGAATTCCAAAAGAATCTACTTTTTAGGAATACTTAATTACTTGGTGAATGCCGGCACTCAAATTACTTATTACACATTTCAACCTGCATTTGCCCCTTTCTGCAGCGTCTCTAAAGTGGAGTGTGGCCTAATTGGAAGGCCAAACGAATCTAATTCAATAATGATTAATTACTTAATGAGTGCGATCACTAATTAATTATTACATATTTCAACCTGCACCTCCATTTTCTACCAAGTCTCTACAGTAGAGTGATGCCTAATTGGAAAGGCGAACGCATCTAATTCAAGATCGGTTAATTACTTGGTGAGTGCCACCATTCTAATTAATTATTACCCTGTTCGTCCTCTACTTGCAACTCTATAGCATCGCTAAAGGTACAAATAGCTTAATTGGAAATCAAAACGAATCCATTTTTCAAAAATACTACCTAGTGAATTCCGGCACTCTAATTAATTATTATACATTTCAACCTGCACCTGCCACTTTCTAGAGTTTTTCTAAAGTGGAGTGTGGCCTAATTAGAAAGGCAAACGAATGTAATTCAATAATGATTAATTACTTAGTGAGCGCAGACACTCTAATTAATTATTACCCAATTTATCCTGTTCCTGAAACTTTCTCTAAAAGGTGCGAATTGCTTAATTGAAATGGAAAGGCAAGCCAATCTAATTCAAAAATGATTAATTACTTAGTGAACGCGGACACTCTAATTAATTATTACTCACACATTTCAACCTGTACTTGCCGCTTTCTACAGCATCCCTAAAGTGGAGTTTCGCTTAATTAGAAAGGCAAACGAATCTAATTTAAAAATGGTTAATTACTTAGCGAGTGTGAGCATCCTCCTTAATTATTACCCAATTCATCCTGTACCTGCAACTCTCTATAGTATCAATAAAGGTGCAAATTGCCTAATTGAAATTCCAAACGAACCTATTTCAAAAATACTTAATTACTTACTGAATGCCGGCACTCTAATTAATTATTAATTATTACAAATTTAGTGAGTGCGGACATCCTAATTAATTATTACAAAATTCATCCTGCACCTGCAACTATCTATAGCATCGCTAAATTTGCGTATTACTTGATACAATACGAATCTATTTCTAGGATTACGGTACTCCCATTGAAAGGATAATTGCGATCTCAATTGCCCTAATTACACTTACATTCTTTTCCGTATCATTTTCGATATATGATGATAGATAAATAGAGATGAAAAGTCAAGCGGATTTAATTTTTGAACAATTAGGCAATAAGTTTGGAAAATCCTTAATTAAATTTCAAATTAGGGACTAAATGATGGAAAGTTGCTTTCCGCGATACCATATACAAACAGAGCCGATTTATTTGTGCCAACCAGTTGCGGCAAATAACTCAATTAATAAATCCCGATATAATTACTATCAAACCAGTTTAAGTAAACACCAATCTTAAGGTCATAGTTTAAGTTACCGAGTTTGTACCAACAACTAAACAGTAACTGCCGGCGACTTGCCGAAGAAAGTGCTACTATAATTTAAGTGTGTTTTAAATAAAGGTAAGTAAATTAGTTTACACCCTATAATTACGTAATTTGAAGTTAATCTAATGAAATTATAATTTCACAAGACTATACTTCCAGAACTATACAAATTATCGACTAATTTAATTTTTTTTTGCACTTTGTCCATTTGCGTCTAATTAGCACATGGTTTACATAGTAACGCATTGAAAGTTCGCGAAATTCTGTAAAATTAATTAAAAGACCCAATTGACACATTGGGGATGCTTGCGATACCTCGCGGCCGCATGGAAAATTAAATTACTGTTAATTACGCGCTAATTTAGCCATACTTCTTTGAGGTTTCTGTGTTCCTGATGCACCTCCACGGTTTTAGAATAGAAGTACATGCACTAATTACTATTTGTTCCTATGCTTGCGTTCCACAAATTGAGAACTTGATTTCGGTGGCTAATTTCAAATCAATTATCGTAATTATATATAGTGCACAGTTACGAAGTAAGAGTCGTAATTACTTCAATTTGTGCGTGAATTACCTAATTACCGCGTCAGTGTAGTATCCAAAATTAAATTGGTTCAAATTAAGCGATAATTTTGCCATAATTACGTCGCAATTGGCGCATAAAATTCGGCCGTGGAAGTTAATTAAATTAGGGGTGTCCAGTTGCTTTGATTATTGACACGGTCGTCGTCGATAACGCGGGAGTTTGTTAACCTTTGGAAACGCTGTCGTCGAGCGTTGCAACCTAAGCGAATAGCTCAGCAGAAATGCACTTCGTTGGAAGTTATTCTCGCGAAAGACATGGCGGAGGACGAAGCGAATTTGTTTTCGGTGACGCGTATGGTGTTGACCTTCTTCGGGCCAAGTATCGGCTTCCTCTTAGCCCTGCACTCGACCATCATGAACGAGAGGCCCGACATTTTGGACTTGGAGAACCGCGTCAAGGACACGCCGGTCCACGATATGTACGAGAGTTACGACTTTATTATTGTGGGGGGCGGAAGTGCGGGCGCGGTCCTGGCGAACCGTCTCAGCGAGGTGCCGTTTTGGAGCGTTCTCCTGCTCGAGGCCGGTCCCGACGAGTTCGTCTACTCGGATCTGCCGCTGCTCTTTCCCGCGCTGCAGAAGACGCCGATCGATTGGAAGTTTCGCACGGAGCCGGCGGACGGGTACTGCCTGGGGATGAAGGGGGGACAGTGCAACTGGCCGCGAGGGAAGGTGCTCGGCGGGTGCAGCGTTTTGAACGCGATGCTCTACGTGAGGGGGAACCGGCGAGATTACGACCGCTGGGAGGAGTTGGGGAATCCGGGCTGGGGATACGACAGCGTTCTGCCTTATTTTAAACGATCGGAGGATATGCGAATCGAGGATTTTCGAGGTGACCCGCTGCACGGGACTGGGGGGTATCTCTCGGTGGAGTACTACCGTTACAAATCCCCACTGACCGACTCGTTCCTTCAAGCCGCCCAGCAATTGGGGTACGAGATCAGGGATATCAACGGTGAGTTCCAGACCGGTTTCACGCCCTCTCACGGCACTCTTCGCAATGGGCTCCGCTGCAGCACCGCCAAAGCATTCATAAGATCTGCAGCTGATCGCGATAACCTGCACGTCAGTCTACTGTCGAAAGTGGAAAGGATTCTCGTGGACGAAGACACTATGGGTGCTTACGGCGTCGTCTTCAACAAGCTCGGCAAAAAAGTCGAGATCGTAGCAGATCGCGAGGTGATTTTAAGCGCAGGTGCCTTGCACTCCCCCCAGCTGCTGATGCTCTCAGGAATCGGCCCGGCCCAGCACTTGGCCGATGTCGGAATTCGGCCCATCTTCAACTCACCCGGAGTCGGTGAAAACCTCCAAGACCACGTCGCCATGGGGGGAGGCTCTTATCTCTACGAGGACCTGGAGAGATGCCCGGACGGTTGCAGTTTTCTCCTACCCAACGCCTATTCTCCGTACAACCTGGAGGAGTTCGCCGAAGACGAGTCGGGTCAGCTGTACTGGCTGCCGGAGTGCGAGGTCATGGGGTTCGTAAACACCAAGTACGCCAATCGCAGCAACGACTGGCCCGATATCCAGCTCTTCATGGCCTCCTACTCCGATAACACCGACGGTGGATTGTTCAGCAAGCGAATTACTGGACTGACAGACACCATCTACGCGAGCGTCTACGAAGATTACCTCTACAAGGACGCGTACACCTTGCTACCTTTGTTACTACGGCCCAAAAGTCGAGGAAGAATTCTGCTCAAAGACTCCCACCACAAAAGCCACCCGCTCATCTTCCCCAACTACTTCGCAGACCCCCACGACTTGGCCATTCTGGTAAGTGACTCCCCCCTTCCTGAAATCACTACACGACGCCTTCCAGGTGGAGGGCGCCAAAATCTCGTACGCGCTCACCAAAACGCCGGCAATGCAACGGATCCGCTCACGCATCAACCCCAATAAATTCCCCGGCTGCGAGCACCTGCACTTCCTCTCCGACGAGTACTGGGCGTGCCAGGCGCGCCACTACACCCTGACGATCTACCATCCGACCGGCACCGCCAAACTGGGACCGGACGACGATCCGATGGCCGTCGTCGACCATCGCCTGAGGGTGAAGGGAATCGGAAACCTACGCGTCGTCGACGCCTCCATCATGCCGTACATCGTCAGCGGCAACACGAACGCCCCCACGATCATGATAGCGGAGAAGGCCTCCGATATGATTAAGGAGGATTGGGACGCCATCTCGCGAGGTCATACGGGACGAAGTTGGCAGGTCGACCAGGAGCCGAAGAGAAAGCATAAGAAATTCAAGTCGATGGACAAAAACGAGCTCGAGGCGATTAAGAAGAAGATTCCAGCGCATTGGAAATTAATCGACTATTGGTAGATTTCTAATTCAACAATTCAATTAATTAAACCAAACTGTATATAACTATTTTGCATAATTATACGGACCACTAATCTAGTTGGATTAATTAGCTAAAAACGACACCAATTACAGTGCTTCAAATTAATTAATTAAGCGTAATTTTGAATTAACAATCCCCAAATCGATTAATTAGTAGGGTAATTATGCGTGACTAATTGCATCACCGAAGGGCAATGGGCGGTGGGGTCGTCACATCCCGACGCCGGAATTTATCCTATTATGCTACTCATTAAGGACCCAGGAGAAAACATGCTACGGAATGTTCCACTCAATGACACCCTCCTACAGGGAAGGATGCCCAGTTGAAGAAATTGTTATCAAATCAATGAGCCGAAGATGAGTTCGGGCTTCAATTCGCTCTGAATTGATTGGTTTAGTGTCAATTTTTTCGAATTGATATCTCTCCCTGTGAGAGGGTTCCATTGCGGAGCTAGCCGAAGGTGAGTTCGGCACAAACTAAGATAGCGTCGTGGGTTCGAGCTCCAATTTGAAGGAACAGGCCCTTTTTTGTGCCGAACTCGCCTTCGGCTCGCTCGGCATTGATTAATTTGATGTCACATTTTCGGTTTGATATCCCTCCCTGTGAGGAGGTGGCATTGCCGAGCGAGCCGAAGGTGAGTTCGACACAAACTAAGATAGCGTCGTGGGTTCGAGCTCCAATTTGAAGGAACAGACCCTTTTTTGTGCCGAACTCGCCTCATTGTGTCAAATTTTCAGTTTGATATCCCTCCCTGTGAGGAGCTGCCATTGCCGAGCGAGCCGAAGGTGAGTTCGGCACAAACTAAGCTAGCGTCGTGCGTTCCGGGACCCTCCAAATCAAATTTTCAGTTTGATATCCCTCCCTGTGAGGAGCTGCCATTGCCGAGCGAGCCGAAGGTGAGTTCGCACAAATAAGATAGCGTCGTGGGTTCGAGCTCCAATTTGAAGGAACAGGCCCTTTTTGTGCCGAACTCGCCTTCGGCTCGCTCGCATTGATTAATTTTGATGTCACATTTTCGGTTTGATATCCCTCCCTGTGAGGAGGTGGCATTGCCGAGCCAGCCGAAGGTGAGTTCGGGACAAACTACGCTAGCGTCGTGCGTTCGCGCTTCAATTTGAAAGAACATGCCCTTTTTGTGCAGAAATCGCCTTCGGCTCGCTCGGCATTGATTAATTTCATGTCATATTTTCGGTTTGATATCCCTCCCTGTGAGGAGGTGGCATTGCCGAGCCAGCCGAAGGTGAGTTCGGGACAAACTACGCTAGCGTCGTGCGTTCGCGCTTCAATTTGAAAGAACATGCCCTTTTTGTGCAGAAATCGCCTTCGGCTCGCTCGGCATTGATTAATTTCATGTCATATTTTCGGTTTGATATCCCTCCCTGTGAGGAGGTGGCATTGCCGAGCCAGCCGAAGGTGAGTTCGGGACAAACTACGCTACCGTCGTGCGTTCGCGCTCCAATTTGAAGGAACGGGCCCGTTTTTGTGCTGAACTCGCCTTCAGCTCGTTCGGCCTTGATTGATTTGATGTCACATTTTCGGTTTGATATCCCTCCCTGTGAGGAGGTGGCATTGCCGAGCAAGCCGAAGGTGAGTTCGGCACAAACTAAGCTAGCGTCGTGGGTTCGAGTTCCAATTTGAAGGAACAGGCCCTTTTTTGTGCAGAACTCGCCTTCGGCTCGCTCGGCATTGATTAATTGGATGTCACATTTTCGGTTTGATATCCCTCCCTATGAGGAGGTGCCATTGCCGAGCGAGCCGAAGGTGAGTTCGGCACAGACTACGCTAGCGCCGTGCGTTCGCGCTCCAATTTGAAAGAACAGGCCCTTTTTGTGCAGAACTCGCCTTCGGCTCGCTCGGCATTGGTAAATTGGATGTCACATTTTCGGTTTGATATCCCTCCCTGTGAGGAGGTGCCATTGCCGAGCGAGCCGAAGGTGAGTTCGGCACAAACTAAGCTAGCGTCGTGCGTTCGGGCTCCAATTTGAAGGAACAGGCCCTTTTTTTGTGCCGAACTCGCCTTCGGCTCGCTCGGCATTGATTAATTTGATGTCACATTTCCGGTTTGATATCCCTCCCTGTGAGGAGCTGCCATTGCTGAGCGAGCCGAAGGTGAGTTCGGCACAAACTAAGCTAGCGTCGTGCGTTCGGGCTCCAATTTGAAAGAACAGGCCCTTTTTTGTGCCGAACTCGCCTTCGGTTCGCTCTGAATTGATTGGTTTAATGTCAATTTTTTCGGATTGACATCCCTCCCTGTAAGAAGATGAAATTGAATCCATGAGCCAAAATTGGAGCCGAGTTGAGCCTTACTACTGTATAAGGAAATGAGTCCGGTTCGTACCGAACTTGCCTTGGGCTGGCCCAGCAAACCTAAAGCTAAGTCAGAGCCCCACCGGACTTTTTCTTTTAAAAGAATTGGAGCTGATTTTGGGCCGAAATAATGAATCTTTTGTGTTTCAGATGGAATTTGCAAACCCATGCCCGGGAACCCTAACGGGACCGCCCTCCCATATGTTTATGAGCGTAATTAACACAATAATGGCCTCCCAGTGCTTATTATCTCCGAGCAAACTCTTTCCGCCCGACCACGCTGCCCACTTGAACGACGGCGACGAGTTCGATTTTATTGTAGTCGGTGGCGGATCTGCAGGTTCCAGAGTCGCCAGCAGGCTATCGGAAAATCCCCAATGGAGGGTTCTGCTGTTGGAAGCTGGAGGCTACCCGTCGGCCCACACTGAGGTAATATCTGCCACCTGCCGAATTCCCTTTCACATGACGTTCTCGCCGTAGATTCCGACGGCTTTCTTCAGTTTGGTAAAAACGGACGACGATTGGGGTTACGATCTCGAAAAGAGCGAGCACGGGTGTCTAGGATTGAAGTGTTTCGCACCACGAGGGAAGTCTTTGGGAGGGTCGAGCTCGATAAACGGTATGTTGTACTTGCGCGGTAATCGAAAGGACTACGACACTTGGGCCAGCTTGGGGAACGCGGGGTGGGACTTCGACTCGGTCTTGGAGTACTTCAAGAGAAATGAAGATCTGCAGGACGTCGAGGATGAACGATTCGGTAAGGGAGGGGATCTCAAGCTGACTCCCTACATCAGCCCGCAGCCGATACGCGAGGGGTTGATTAAGGCGTACAATGAATTGGGGTATGGCAAATACGAGGAGGAGAAACCGGAAGGGTACTTCGACACATACACAAACATATGGAAGGGCACCCGGCACAGTGCGGCCAAAGCCTACTTAGCCAAGGCAAAGGATCGTAAAAACTTGTACGTCGCCCTCAATGTCCAAGTCGGCAGGGTCACCATTGACAAAGACCTTTCGGTTACCGGCGTCGAAGCGCGCATCAACGGCAGGATCATCCAAATTAGAGCCACCAAGGAGGTGGTGCTATCGGCCGGAAGCGTAAACTCGCCACAAATCCTCATGAACTCGGGGATTGGTCCAGAAGACCACCTTAAAGAGTTGGGCATACCGGTCGTAAAGAACTTGAAGGTCGGCCAGAACCTTCAAGACCACATCTTCTTCGTAGGGCTAATGTACAACGTTGCCAATAATGCGCTAATACCAAAAACGTCCGATGACGTAATGGACGAATGGTACCAGTACCTTCGACACAGAACCGGGCCCATCAGTCAAACGTCAATTGGAAATTTCCTGTTCTTCGGCGACCCCAGACGCAAAACCGAGTACCCAACCTTTGAGCTCTTCCACGTTCCAGTGTACCAAAATGACCGTTACGGCGGCTTAAAGGAGGTACAAAGGGCACTCAATCTTCCAGAGGAGGTCATCAAGACGCAAGACGAAAACAACAAGAAATCCAATAACATCTTCCTCCTCCCATCGCTAGCATATCCGGAGTCGGTCGGCGAAATTTTACTGCGAAGCGCCGATCCTTACGACACCCCAAAAATACACACCAACTACTTCAGCGATCCCAAAGGCGAAGACATCCGAGTTATGCTGGACGCCGTGCGATTTTCACAAAACCTGACCAAAACCAAGGCGTTCGCGACCTTCAACCCGAAGCTGGTGCACGTCGACGTGAAGAACTGCCGGCAATTCACGCCCGACAGCGACGACTACTGGAAGTGCGCGATTAAGAACATAGCGACAACGGTCTACCATCTGGTGGGGACTTGCAAAATGGGACCGCAAGGGGATCCCGATGCCGTCGTCGATTCCCGATTGCGCATTCACGGGATGAAGGGTGTTCGAGTGATCGACGCGTCGATCATGCCGAAATTGGTGAGCTGTAACACGAACGGGCCGACGATGATGATCGGGGAGAAGGGGGCGAGCATGATTTACGAGGATTGGAGCGGAGAACGCGTGGAGCTCTGACCCCTTCAACTGTTTGCAATGGTGCAGTAGATATCTTCACATCATCCTGCTAACAAGACTTGTCTGCATCATGTGCTCCTAATACTAAAACTCAAGTGCTTCTGATATCAAAACTTTAATAGTTCGATATTCGGAGTACAGAGGAAGCAGGAGATATTTTTATATTCCTCATACCAAAATTTATATCAGATAAAAGAACGTGAAAAAGAAAGCATTTTTCTATTCTCCTGATACCAAAACTTATTTTTACCAAAAAAAAGCATGACAAGTTGTCCCCTAGGAATAAAACCTCATATACATCCAAAGATTTGTAAATGAGTTGAGAAATGTACATCAATGCCTCTATGTGCTCCTGATACCAACCTATATTCACCATACTAAAATTTATGTCAGATAAAAGAACGAGAAAAAGAAAGCATTTTTCTATTCTCCTGATGCCAACACCTATTTTTACCAAAAAAAGCATGAGAAGTTGTCCCTTAGGAATAAAACTTCAGAAGAGTATAATACGTGACGGTAGGTATTTTCGTATTCTCCTGAAATATAGGCTGACGTGCTCCTGATACCAAATGTTTAGAAATAATTGGAAATTAAGAGTACAGAAATATATTCTCCTGAAACCAAAACGAATATCAATAAAAATGACGAGAAGTTCCAAATTGTAGAAAATGCGTTGAGAAATATAGACAGATGCATATATGTGCTCCTGATATTAGAATTTTAACAATAACTCGATTTCAAAGGTACAGAAGTGATAGTTGGCTTTGATATTCTCCTGACACAAAAAATCCAAACGCTGTTTGAGGCATTCTTATATTCTCCTAATATTAATCTAAAAGTTTGTAAATGAGTTGAGGAATATAAACACATGCCTCTACGTGCTCCTGATACCAGACTTCTAAAAACAATTCGACGTAAAGAGTCCAGAAGTGCGATAGTAGGCATTTTTGTATTCTCCTGATACAAAAATTAATATCAATTCAAGGACTGTAACGGGGTTGAGAAATATTGATCGATGCCTCTATGTGCTCCTGATATCAAATCTTTTAAAATAATTCGAGAAGGGTGCAGAAGAGATAGGCATTCTTATATTCTCCTAATAAAAATCCAAAGGTTTGTAAATAAGTTGAAAAATATAAATCAATGCCTCTATGTGCTCCTGATAGCAGACTTCTAGAAATAATTTGACGTAGAGTCCAGAAGTGCGATAGTAGGCATGTTCTACTGATACAAACATTAATATCAATCCAAGGACTGTAACGGGGTTGAGAAATATTGATGGATGCCTCTATGTGCTCCTAATATCAAATCTTTTGAAATAATTTGACAAGAGTACAAAAGAGATAGCCATTCTTATATTCTCCTAATATAAATCCAAAGGTTTGTGAATGAGGTGAGAAATATAAATCAATGCTTCTATGTGCTCCTGATACCAACCTATATTCACCACACTAAAATTTATGTCAGATAAAAGAACGAGAAAAAGAAAGCATTTTTCTATTCTCCTGATGCCAACACCTGTTTTTACCAAAAAAAGCCCTTAGGAATAAAACTTCAGAAGAGTATACGTGACGGTAGGTATTTTCGTATTCTCCTGAAATATAGGCTGACGTGCTCCTGATACCAAATGTTTAGAAATAATTGGAAATTAAGAGTACAGAAATATATTCTCCCGAAACCAAAACGAATATCAATAAAAATGACGAGAAGTTCCAAATTGTAGAAAATGCGTTGAGAAATATAGACAGATGCATATATGTGCTCCTGATATTAGAATTTTAACAATAACTCGATTTCAAAGGTACAGAAGTGATAGTTGGCTTTGATATTCTCCTGACACAAAAAATCCAAACGCTGTTTGCGGCATTCTAATATTCTCCTAATATTAATCTAAAAGTTTGTAAATGAGTTGAGGAATATAAACACATGCCTCTACGTGCTCCTGATACCAGACTTCTAAAAACAATTCGACGTAAAGAGTCCAGAAGTGCGATAGTAGGCATTTTTGTATTCTCCTGATACAAAAATTAATATCAATTCAAGGACTGTAACGGGGTTGAGAAATATTGATCGATGCCTCTATGTGCTCCTGATATCAAATCTTTTAAAATAATTCGAGAAGAGTGCAGAAGAGATAGGCATTCTTATATTCTCCTAATATAAATCCAAAGGTTTGTGAATGAGTTGAGAAATATAAACCAATGCCTCTATGTGCTCCTGATACCAGACCTTAAAAATAATTCGACGTCACGAGTACAGAAGTGATAGTACGCATTTTTATATATTTTCCTGATACAAAAACTAATATCAATCCAAAGGCTGTTTTGTAACTGAGAAATATAGATCGATGCCTCTATCCCCTGATATCAAATCTTTTGAAATAATTCGACGTCAAGAGTGCAGAAGAGATAGTAAGCATTTGTATATTCCCCTAATATCAATACAAAGGTTTGTAAATGGATTGAGTAATATAAATCACTGCCTCTATGTGGCCCTGATACCAGAAAAATAATGTGACGAGTGCAGGCTATTTTAAATATTTTCCCGATTACAAAACTTACATGAATCAAAAGCAGGAAATTAGTCGATAAATATCGATTAATGTTTTATATTCTCCTGGTACCAACGCAATAATAAGTAGACGAGTGTGTAAAAGTGGCAGAAGGTATTTTATATTCTCCTGATACCACAAATTACATAAATCAGGAACAAAAAAGATCAAGTTAAAAAATATCAATCCATGTGCTCCTGGTAACCAAACTTGAATAATAATTTTTGATGTCAAGAGTGCCGAATTGGCATTTATAATATCACCCTGATACAAAGTAACGTGTATCAAAAGCACGAAAATAATCAAAAGGTACTTTCATATTCTCCTGATACCAAAACTTATATTACTTAGCAGAAGCACGAGAACTTCCACTTGTAAGAAACGAGTTGAGAAGTATTGACTAACGCTATTCTCCTGATATAAACACTTTTGTAGGTGTGGTTCCAAAACTTGTATGTATCAGAAATTGATGCTTCATGCTCTCCTGATACCAAAACTGATTCATATCAGTAGCATGGATGTGATACAGTGCTTTTTAAATTTAAACGTCAAGGTTCACCGATTGGTTTCAATATTTAAGGTTCCGGATTTAAAATTCTAGATTTTTAGATACCTTAAAAGATTCAGTGTTGAGGATTCAAGGTTCAAAAAAGGAAGCTTAAAATTCAAAATATTCCGCGCTCACAGTTCCAGAAACCTAGATTAAGGTTTTCAGATTCAATTTTGGTTTCAAGCGAGAAGGTATAAGGTTCCAGGTTCAAGATTCAAAGTCAGCAGGTTCAATATTGGAGATTAAAAAGTTCAACATTGAAAGTACTAGGTTCCACGTTCCAGGACCGGATTCAAGATTGAAAGTGTAAGGATTAAGGTTCAAAGATCGAAGGTTCAAGGTTCCAAAATCAAAGATCATGGTTAATGACAGTACAAGATAACGTTCAAAATTGAAGATTTAATAATCAAATTTCGAACAATTTTCAGGTTGATCATTCAAGGAGCAAGACTGCCAATCGTCCTTGATCATAGCGGCACCTTTCTCGCCGATCATGATTGTAGCGGCGTTGGTGTTGCAGCTAATAATTTTAGGCATAATGGATGCGTCGATTACCCGTACGCCCTTCAAGCCGTGCACCCTCAGACGCGGATCGACGACGGCGTCGGAATCACCCTCCGGCCCCATCTTGCACGTGCCCACAAGATGATAAAGCGTCGTTGCCAAATTTCTCAGCGCGCACCTCCAGTACCCGTCCGAGTTGGGCGCGAACTGGGCGCAGTTCGGCAGCGGAATGTGAACCAATTCCGGTTTGGTATCGGCGAACGCCCTGGTTTCGGTTAGGTTCTGGTAGAATCGTATCGCCTCGAGCATCGTCTGGAGATCCTCGTCGTGTTGGTCGCCGAGGTAGTTCGCGAAGATCCTCGGCTTGTCGAACGGGTCGGAGCTGCGCAACAGAATTCGCCCGGCCGACTTGGGATGGGCGAGGGACGGTACCAGAAAGACGCTGTGAGATTTTCGGTTGTTTTCCGTTTGCGCTCGGACGATTTCGTCGGGAAAGCCGAACGTCTCCTGTAGCCCTCTGAGAGTGCCGTAAGGGTCGTCCTTGTGAATTGGCACGTAAAACATTTCGGCGGCGGGCTGTTGGGAGCTGCGCTTGGGGTTGATGAACGAGATGAAATTTGGTATCCCAGACTGGGCGATTGGGCCAGCTCTGTGCCTAAAGTATTGGTACCAATCGTCGGTGACGTCATCGGCCGACTTTGGGAGCAAGGCGCTTTCGGCCAGGTTGTAGAATAAGCCGGTGAAGATGATGTGGTCTTGGAGGTTGTGGCCCACCTTCAGATTGCGCACCAAAGTGATGCCAATCTTCTTCAAGTGATCTTCTGGGCCAATCCCAGAGTTCATAAGGATTTGGGGCGAGTTTACACTTCCTGCCGAGAGTACTACCTCTTTCCTTGCGTTGACCTTCAGAATCTTGCCCCCTATGCGAACCTCAACGCCGGTTACCGCCATTTCTTCATTTACCAAGACTTTGGAAACCTGGGCGTCAAGGGCGAGATAGAAGTTTCTTCTGGTTTTCGTCTTCGGCAAGAAGGCTTTAGCTGAACTAAAACGCGTGCCATTTTCTATTGTGGTATAGGAGTCGAAATACCCGATTGGATTTTCTTGGGTGTACCTTCCAAACCCAAGCTCTTGGTACGCTTTGATTAGGGTTTCTCGCATGGGATGGTGACTCGTGTACTTCGTGACCTTTAGGTCCCCCCCTTGGACATCTTCCTTGTAATACGGCAAAATCGAGTCAAAATCCCAACCAGTGTTGCCGTCACGAGCCCAGCTGTCAAAATTCTCTCGATTGCCGCGAATGTAAAGCATGGCGTTGATCGTACTACTACCGCCGAGCGCCTTCCCACGCGGACACGGACACTTGGCGCCGATCATCCCCAGGCAACTAGTCTCAGACGGCTCCATGTCGTAATTCCAGTCCTCTCGAGTTCGGCTTACGCTACCAAAAGTTGCCGGCACCTGCACAGAGCCAATTGAAACGTTGGGCGCGTGCGCCTATTTCTACCTCGCTAGCAGCAGAGGGGTAGCCACCGGCCTCCAACAGGAGAACTTTCCAGTTGGGATTATCAGATAACCTGCTCGCTACCGTTGCCCCAGCAGATCC